CTGGAAAAAATTTTAATGGGCTGGTTGGTCAGACCCTTCCTCAGTCTGACCAACCAGTCCTTAAACTTGCATATTGCCCTAAAGGCCATGTTTTATTTGTTAAAGGAGCACCTTCTAACAATGTTATATAGATCATATAGTCTGCATTACAAATAATGTCGGTAGAAATATACTTATATTATACATTATATTAAAATCACATTAAAGGAATGCTCACATTATTATTTATAACAGAATAATAGCAAACTAACCTTGATAGATAACCTAGTTTAAGGAAGGACATGGCTTGTAACCGCGCAGGCTGGCTTGTGACTGAACTAAAGCACAGAGAGGAAAGGTCACCATATAAGTTACCTTTACAGTTTCTGTGTGACTTAAAGCTAGCTATATTAACTCTTAACATGCTGAATTATATAATGGTTTGCCCTGCTTAGATATTAGAACAGTTCATTTAAAGTTGAAGAGGATATCATTATCAAAATACAGAAATTGTTTTACCAACAGTGTAGAGCTTGGTCAGACTGCATGGATGTGCCAGCTTGTGTGCCTCTATGGCTAATGAATTACGATTCCAGCAGATGAAGGGTTAAATTATGTAAATATGCAATTAAATATTAATTAAAGCAGCAACTTAGCCTCCAAATTATGCTAATTGTTTATCACAATGTCCTTCAACTACATAAGTGGATAAATTATGTGATTTCCATGGAGCAGCATATGCTTCAAATCACCATTGTTAATAAGGTATTTTTATATATCGTAATTATGCTCTTTTATTCAACAAAATTAATTGTTTACCTTATCACTTATTATATACTCCACAACATGTGGAAGGGGCTTGTTATTACACAGGAATCACTTTGTCACATAAGTATGTTCATATGTCCATCTGTCTCCATTTTGTTCACTCTATAACTCTATGCCTTTTCAGACTTGGCTCAAATGTTCACCTGAACAAGTTGATACCAAGAACACGTATGGCTGATGTACTGTTAAAAGGTCAAAGTCACCTTCAAAGGTCAAATGTCACACATTTTTGTATCTATTCATATTCCATTTGATGGATTTTCTTTGCATAAATATTTACCTGAACAGGGTTATGTCCAAAACCGAAGTGCAGCTGTGTTGGGTCAAGGTCACGGTCACCCTTAAATGTCAAACATCAGACAATTTGTGACTGCTCTATAAATCCTATACCTTTGAAGGATTTTCTTAATACTTGGCTCAAATAATCATTTGAGGACTCAGAAATTTATTGTCGAAAAGCTAATGTTAAGAACCCATGCCATTACTGCCAGCTCAAGGTCAAGGTCATACTTGAAGGTCAAATGTCACGACAATATTTGTCCACACTATAACATCTAATTACGTCTTAATTTGACTTCTTCAAACTTTGCATTAAAAATAATGATAAATGGGCCTAAATAAGATTCCTGTGTCATAGAAATGTTGGAGTAATAAGTCACTTCTGTGACAACTGAGTGTCTGAACATACATGTATAGATAATATTTGTTTGTTGTGCAAGTGTGATTGAAATATATTTCAGACAGTGAACACCAGATGTAATAATTTCACAAGCCACCTTAGCAAAGTGATATATAATTCACATACAAAACAAACATTTACTTAATTTCATGCATTTTAGTTGATTTCAGTACATATTTTTGCTGCTTATTGACATGCCCTCTCATTCAGGGCATTTAGTACCATTGTTCTCTGTATTTCTGAAGATATTTCTAAATACTAAAAGGACTCCACTGAGGTTTTATGACATGAAGGGACTGGGAATATTTTTTTCTTGTTTGCAAAATATCCGACAATTCGCTTACTTTTCTTATTGTGAAAATTTACCCAAATTTGAAGAGAATTGCATGCTTTTTCAATCTAATCGGGTTAATAAACACACAAAAAATACAATTTACACTTTATTTCTGGGTGTATATCATAATTATCTTTTTCTTATCTTTCTGTTTTAAGTGCTTCAGCTGAACTAGGTAAGAAATTCAAATTTTATGGTTTTAGGCTTCTGGACCTTGGTGGAGTTCCTTTAATGATACTTTCTTTTCATCCACTTTCTAAATATTACATGTATTAAGTCTGGCTAAGTGAGAAAATTACATTTAATATTTTCACTGCGTATTATCAAGATATAAGTTCACAGTTTATTGAAAAGCATACTAAAGTTTTTGTACACCTCTTTTTACCCTATCAAGTTACAGCTTTGTGGAAACTATCAAATAGTCAAGTGTACTGTCTTACAAAAACTCATTCTAAACTACGTACTTTATAATGCATGTGTTATAATTACATTTTTATGCCCCCCTTCGAAGAAGAGGGGGTATATTGTTTTGCTAATGTCGGTCTGTCTGTCTGTCTGTCGGTCCGTCCGTCGGTCTGTCCGTCGGTAGACCACATGGTTTCTGCTGATTATCGTGAAAAGTATTTATCACAAAGTCTTCATATTTTACATAGTGATTGTCATCACAAGTAGATGACCCCTATTGATTTTTGGGTCACTAGGTCAAAGGTCAAGGTCACAGGGACCTTAAATGTCAAAATGGTTTCCGCTGATTATCTTGAAAAGTATGTATCACAAAAGTCTTCATATTTCACACAGTGATTGGTGATAACTAGTAGATGACCCCTATTGATTTTGGGGGTCACTAGGTCAAAGGTCAAGGTCACAGGGGCTTTAAATGTCAAAATGGTTTCCGCTGATTATCTTGAAAAGTATTCATCACAAAGTCTTCATATTTCACATAGTGATTAGTCATAACTACTTTAACTAGTAGATGACCCTATTGATTTTGGGGTCACTAGGTCAAAGGTCAAGGTCACAGGGACCTTAAATGTCAAAATGGTTTCCGCTGATTATCTTAAAAGTATGTATCACAAAGTCTTCATATTTCACACAGTGATTGGTTATAACTAGTAGATGACCCTTATTGATTTTGGGGTCACTAGGTCAAAGGTCAAGGTCACAGGGACCTTAAAATGTGAAAATAATTTTCTGCTGATTATCTTAAAAAGAATTCATCACAAAGTCTTCATATTTCACATAGTGATTGTCATAACTAGTAGATGACTCCTATTGATTTTGGGGTCACTAGGTCAAAGGTCAAGGTCACAGGGGCCTTAAATGTCAAAATGGTTTCCGCTGATTATCTTGAAAAGTATGTATCACAAAGTTTTCATATTTCACATAGTGATTGGTCATCACTAGTAGATGACCCCTATTGATTTTGGGGTCACTAGGTCAAAGGTCAAGGTCACAGGGACCTTAAAATGTGAAAATGGTTTCCGCTGATTATCTTGAAAAGTATTCATCACAAAGTCTTCATATTTCACATAGTGATTGGTCATCACTAGTAGATGACCCCTATTGATTTTGGGGTCACTAGGTCAAGGTCACAGGGGCCTTAAATGTCAAAAGGGTTTCCGCTGATTATCTTGAAAAGTATTCATCACAAAGTCTTCATATTTTACCTAGTTATTGGTCATAAGTATTAGATGACCTCTATTGATTTAGGGGTCATTAGGTCAAAGTTCAATGTCACATGGGCCTTAAATGTCAAAATGGTTTCTGTTGATTTTTCCATAATTGAACACTTCCATGTACCCATTTTTGGCAAGTTTCTTTAATAAAATTACCAATAATGTGAGTAAATGGCTAGAAAGGGGGGTATATGTGTCGTTCGACATTCTTGTTTTAACTTTGAGGTGTTTAGCTTCAAAGTATATAAAATGTTGGAAAAGAATATAGTGATAGTGCAATTTGAGTCCTTTGTGTAGATAAGGAATAGATTTAGTATGATAGTCTTAATAATGAATGTTCACAGAAGAAAATTAATACTTTGGTTTTAATAGCATTATTATTGTATGTTTATCATAGGTTTATATAGATGTTTGTATAAACAGATTTTGCATATGAGCCGTGCCACGACAAAACCAACATAGTGCGTTTGCAACCAGCATGGATCCAGACCAGCCTACACATCCGCGCAGTCTGATCAGGATCCATGCTGTTCGCTATCAGTTTCTCTACTTGTAATAGAGTTGGTAAGCGAACAGCGCAGGATGCGCAGGCTGGTCTGGATCAATGCTGGTTGCAAACGCACTATGTTGGTTTTGTCATGACGCGGCTCATATAACATTTTATGTGAAAAAAACATATAAAAAAGATAATAGAGTAGTAACGTTTTTAGGAATATGTACTCAGTACTTAATATGTAGATCTTACACTGAGACACTTTAAGTATAAAAAGAAGCAACATATAATTTGTAAAATACTATACTATACTTTAGTGTTAATCCTAGATTGTTTTTGTTTTTAAATAATTTCATTCATTAAAATTTGTATAATGCGTGTGCAAATATCTTGATCTGCCTATTTATTTTAATGTAACTTATCTAGCTGATTCAAAAGATTCTGAAATTAGTGTTTGTTGCTAAAATTGATATTTCTGTGCAAAGTATTCATGGTAATTAATTATATTTTGTAACCTTAATTTGGTATAATTTCTTGACTGTGAATCATGTTTTTTTATCAACTCAATCTTAAATAATGGCAAACACTAAAACAGAAAATCAGAAGAAAATATGTGATTTATAATCACTAGTACGTCAGTTTGTTTTATCTTTTAAACTTCCTATATCGTACTTGATCTTATGACTTTAATGATACAATTTGTTAATTGTGAGAATAATAATTAATGGTTTATATTTTACTACTATATCTTTTATTGCAGGAAAGACAGGAAAGAGAAGATCATGGATTGTTGTTCCCACATGGTGAACATGGCGATGATAATGATAGTAAGTTGAAAAATATGCTTTATCCTCAATCTGTTGGAACTTAAAGTTATTGACATTTGCCACCAGTTTTGAGCCATGCAGGCTTGCATTTCAGAGCAGTCTGATCAGGCTCTTTGCTGTTTTTAGAATCTTAAGTTTAAGCTTTTCTGTGAAGAAGAATTCAAGCTATGAGTGTTGTGCCATTTATTTATTTTGTCATATAGTAAAAACTAGAAAGTAGTCAGCTATTCAATCACTTTAACGGTACCAACAGTAAACTTTGAATGTGAATACAACTTGATAAATTGTAGTTCTCACTTTCATTTTTAGGTCAAAAGGCCAAGGTCACTTGGACTTGTAGTAATAAAACACACACCTGGCCATACAATTAAAGTGTATTGATTTTAAAACATTAAACTTGCATTAAATGAGTTCTACCTGTCACATCCATCTTAAGGTGAAGGCTACTGGGATATGTTATGAGAAAATATAAAACTGGCCATTAAATCCAATTGCAATAACCTAGAAACTTTAAATTTTGATGCACCTTAATGAGTTTCACCTGCCACACACATTTTTATGCTCCCACTTGTCCGTCCGTCCGTATGTCCGTCCGTACAAACCAGAGCTACATTATGGGGTTTGGTCTATTGTTCTCATAACAATAGATGTCTTTGATGTCATTCATTCTGTTTCTCTTGTGGGGTTATTTTCTGCATTGTGGGTTAAAAGGAACAAAAGAAATAAAAGAAAACCCCATAATGTAGCTCTGGTAAGAATGTTCGTCGGTCCGTCCCGAAATCTTGTGAATGCAACTCCTCTTAAACTGGATGGCAGATTTTGCTTAAACTTCCAGGGATGAACAACCTTAATGTGTAGATGGTAGTTAAGGAAGGAATTTTCGCTGCGACCAAATTTAACAGAATTATGGCCCTTTGATGATTTTTTCACTATATACCATATAGAAATTTTGTGAACACAACTCCTCTTAAACTGGATGGCAGATTTTGCTTAAACTTCCAGGGATGAACAACCTTAATGTGTAGATAGAAGTAAAGGAAGGAATTTTTGCTGCGACCAAATTTAACAGAATTATGGCCCTTTGTTGATTTTTTCACTATATACCATATATCATTGGGGGCATCCGTGTCCTTTGGACACAGTTCTAGTTAAATCAAAAGTTCAAAGGTCAAGTCACTAGGACCTTTGAAAAACAAAACATGAAACTGGCCTTTATATTTAAGTGCAGAGTGTTTGAAATTTCAAACTTTGTATGTTGTTGACTTTGATGAATTCTACCGTCCATTTTAGGTCAAAAGGTCATGGTCAATGTAACCTTTCCTTTAATTAGAAAATGTGCAGTTTACTATCCAGCACTGAAAAAAGTGGAGAGCACTGCTTCTCTGACATCTTTTGCTTAATGTTGTGTATAACTGTGTTACTGACATAAGATGAATTACTAATAAGCCCTGCCTATGGCCAAAGAAACTATAAAAGGACATTTAAACAAAAAACTTTTTAAAACTAAAAATAACATTTTTAGGCTAAATGGTCCTATAATTGAATATATGTTGAAATTCTGAAATTAATAAGCTGACAATAGAGATCCAGGCCTGATTGCATAGATTATGTGCAGGTTGCATAACCATGTAGGCTAACACTGGTGGTATAGACTTCAGGCAAAGACTGTTTATTCAGACTAACACTGGCAAGGGTTTACACTTTGTCAAAAATTTGGGAGTACCTTGGACTTACACTTGAAGAAAATATATAGGGACCCCATCATAAAAATAATTATGGGTTTCCAAAATTATCTAACAGCTTAATCTGTCACCACTTTAAATATCCACTTAACACCATCTATTCTTTAAAACATATTTGTTGCTGATTTGGTTGACAAGAAAATATCAAAGCATTCAAACGTCTTTTTTTTTAACACTGCAACAATGGATATTTATTTTGCTTAGAATAAAACTTTCTTGTTTCTATGGACAGGACTGCATATGAGTTGGCTGTGCTATCACCAGCATTGTTCTCTATTGTAATATCTTTATTGAAGAACAAATAGACTGTTTGGACATTATTGTAACTTTTTTAGCTCACCTGAGCATATGCTCAGGGTGAGCTATTAGGATCACTCTTCGTCCGTCGTACGTTGTCCGTTCACACTTTTCAAACGACATCTCCTCTGAAACCATAAGGCAGATCATAATGAAACTTCACAGGGATGTTCCTTGTGTGAAGCCTTAACAAAGTTGTTCAAAGAATTCCATTCCATGCAGAACTCTGGTTGCCATGGCAACCAAAAGAAAAAACTTTAAACATCTTCTTCTAGAAAACCCAAAGAGCTAGAGCTTAGATATTTGGCATGAAACATCTTCTAGTGAGTGTCTACCAAGATTGTTCAAATAAAATCCCTGGGGTCAAAATTGGCCCCGCCCCAGGGGGTCATTGATTTTCCCTATATGCATATAGTAAAAACTTAAAAAAATCTTCTTTTAAAGAACCCAAAGAGCTAGAGCTAAGATATTAAGCATGAAACATCTTCTAATGAGTGTCTACCAAGATTGTTCAAATAAAAGCCCTGGGGTCAAAATTGGCCCCGCCCCAGGGGGTCATTGATTTCCCTATATGCATATAGTAAAAACTTAAAAAATCTTCTTCTAAAAAACCCAAAGAGCTAGAGCTTAGATATTTGGCATGAAACATGTTCTAATGGATGTCTACCAAGTTTGTTCAAATAAAAGCCCTGGGGTCAAAATTGGCCCCGCCCCAGGGGGTCATTGATTTTCCCTATATGCATATTGTAAAAACTTAAAAAAATCTTCTTTTAAAGAACCCAAAGAGCAAGAGCTAAGATATTTGGCATGAAACATCTTCTAATAAGTGTCTACCAAGTTTGTTCAAACAAAAGCCCTGGGGTCAAAATTGGCCCCGCCCCAGGGGGTCATTGATTTTCCCTATATGCATATAGTAAAAACTTAAAAAATCTTCTTCTAAAAAACCCAAAGAGCTAGAGCTTAGATATTTAGCATGAAACATGTTCTAATGGATGTCGACCAAGTTTGTTCAAATAAAAGCCCTGGTGTCAAAATTGGCCTCGCCCCAGGGGGTCATTGATTTTCCCTATATGCATATAGTAAAAACTTAAAAAAATTTCTTTTAAAGAACTTAAAGAGCTAGAGCTAAGATATTTAGCATGAAACATGTTCTAATGGATGTCTACCAAGTTTGTTCAAATAAAAGCCCTGGGGTCAAAATTGGCCCCGCCCGGGCTGACATTGATTTTCCTTATATGTGTATAGCAAAAACTTAAAAGTCTTCTTTGAAAAAACCCGAATAGCTAGAGTTTAGATATTAAGCATGAAACATTTTCTAGTAAGTGTCTACAAAGATTGTTCAAATAAAAGCCCTTGGGTCAAAACTGGCCCTGCCCCAGGTGTGTCATTGTTTTTAACTATATCGTGGGCGCAAAACGTTGTAACTCACTTTTTTCCACAAAATGACATTTTTAACATTTTCAATGTATTTTGTGGTTATGCATATCCTCAGTGAGTATTTTAAATGAATTATGAAAATTAACAAGTTAAATTAATATTTGTCAAAAGGTTGTATCTCAAATTGCTCTTAATTTTCAGCGCAAAATGGTTGTATCTCAAGTTACAACCTTTTTGCGCTGAAAATTCTGATAGTGCAATGAAAGTAAATAAGTATTCTGTTTGTCTTATTTGAATCATCACATGAAAAGAAGGATATAAAGACAGTAGAAAAGATTTTTTGTTTTGATATATGTAAATAAACCTTCAATATTGGTAAAAACTAAATTGTGATTTAATATTATCACATATTATCTTCATGAAATATATTTAAATGTATATTACACTATAGTTTAATCTCATAAATTAATTCCAATAAATGAAAAAGATCCACTGCCACAATCAGCAATTGTTTGATATTAAGTAAATGAAATAACTGTCTAATATTGAAGGACAAAATTAATGTCCATATCCCCCCCCCCCCACCTACCCCAGTAACACATACAGTTTATAAAATGACAAGGTGGAAAAGATTTAGCCCCTTATGGATCGAAAATTAGCGCCACACTTATTTTTACAGGGCAGACAAACGTTTCCATATTTTGAAAATTAATGCAAGTACATGTAGATCTAATTCAGAATATCTTCAGTTTTTGCTCATAGTAGCAGAAAACTGATGGAAGGTATGTCAACCCCCCCCCCCACCTAGCCTCAGACCCATAACGCTTCAGAAAATGCTTTTTAATTTTTATTTCTCAAAAGCTTTAAAATTTTAGTGTTCTTATCAAGAAAGTTTAAGGCAAATTACCTGAACAATCTTTTTCATCTTTTGCAATTTTGAAAAAAGTAAAGTTACAGTGAATAAGTATTCTTTGTGGCAGTCAATACTGCCAGTGCTTTGATTACATTTTGCTACTTTTATGACAAATTATAGTACATTTATCACCATTTTCTTCATGCTACAAGCAATATTACATTCTCAAAAAACATATTATTATTATGAATGGCTTAGAAAACTATAAAAGTATAATTAAAGATGAAAGAACGAGAAGGGGATATATGGGACCAAATCGAAAGGGAGGGAGGTGGGGGGGGGGTGTAAATCTCAACTATAAAGACAAAAGACACACTTTGAAATTCAATGAGGAAAAACTGGAGGGGATGGACAAAGTGGCAGGAAACCAAGACCATTGTTAAAATCCCCAAACAGCCATTGAAGGAAATGACACCATAGAATGACACTGTCTTGAAACATAAAAATAGCAAAAAACATTGCTTAAGAGTTTATAATATGAAGCTTTTTAAAAGCTTCTTTCCACATACAATGTAGAATTTGCCTAAAAGATGCCCATATAAACTCTAACATGTATACATATCACAAATTCAGGGTAAGACAAATTTAAAGAGGACCATGTTTAAATAATTTAAACATGGTCCTCTTTAAATTTGGTCTTACCCTAAAAATATTATAAACATCCAGTTTTT